GTACACTTATTTAAGTCATTGACATACTTCCTGTACTCCCTCCCCATGCCAAAACATACTTCCATACCACATCTTGTTAGCCCAGATGAACCAATTTTGCTGAAATCGTCCTAGTAGTTAAAGTAGTAGCTGTCAGGGCAAAGATTTTTAGCAAAGGGCCATAACTTCTTAAAAAGGGTCGAAATGAAAAAATACCACCCCGATGCATGACATCAGGGGGTAATTACAATATCTGTACACTTTCATCAAAATCGACTGAGAAGTTGAAGAGGCAGACAAAGGTTTTTTTCAACAAAGGCATTAAGGGTCATAACTCCTTTTAAAAGGGTCGGAATGAAAAAACTACTTGGATGCACAACATCTAGGGGCAGTTAACATATTCATAAACTTTCTCTGAAATCATCCCAGTAGATCAGCAGAAGTTGTCAGGACAAGGATTATAAAAGCTCCAAAAAAGGGTTGAAATAAGAATACCTGGGTGCACAACATCAGGGGATAGTGATCAAGATATCTGAAATCTTTTGTTGAAATTGGCCCCATAGTTTTGGAGGGGTTGTCTGGACAAGTATTTTTCAACAAAGGGCCATTAGTCCATAAAAAAGGGTCAGAATAAAAAAATAATAAATGGATGCACAACATCAGGTGGTAGTTATCGTATCTGAAAACCTTCATTGAAATTGGCCCCATAGTTTTGGAAGAATTGTCTGGACAAGGATTTTTCAACAAAGGACAATAACTTTGTAAAAAAAGGTCAGAATGGAAAAACAGTACCCGAGTGCACAACTTCATGTGGTAGTTATCATATCTGGAAACTTTCTTTGAAATCTGTCCATAACTTTAGAACAAGTTGTCTGGAGAAAATGTTTCAGAATTTTTTCAACAATGGGCCATAATTTCGTAGAAAAGTCAGAAAGATAAAATAATACTTGGATGTACAACTTCAAGTGGTAGTAATTACATCTGGAAACTTTCATTGAAATTGGTCCATTCCTTTAGGACGAACTTTTTTCTACGGAATGACAGACAGACAGACAACCTGTTTTCAGTACCCCCTACCTTCGTTGCAGGGGGTATAATAATGTTTTTCGTTTACCCCTCAATGACTATATACCATGTTTCATACTATGCTGATGGTATTTTGGGCACTTGTATAGATACTTTCCAATGAATATGCAACATCTGGCATTCGTAAATAAAATATCAAAACACTTTATAAGTCATAGATAGCTTTGGGAACAACAAATAATCTCAAATTAATGTCACCCTGGTAAAAAAAACTAGTCGCTTCCTACCGACTCAGCTAGGAAAAAATTCTGATTAGCCCCTTAGGTAGAGCGCAAGACTAGTAAGTCAGAGGTCCCAGATTCCACTCCAAGTAACACTGAGAATGAGGACGTACAATAAAGAGCCCTTCATCTCAGCATGCTACTGGCCAAATATCATCACCCTGTGCATTTTTGTTATTCAGAAGAATTTGTTTAATGTTTTTCACATATTTGACCCCTGTGACCTTGAATATAGGAGAAGGTCATTCATTTGAACAAACTTGATAGCCCTTTTCCCCAACATGCTACTGGCCAAATATCATCACCCTGTGTATTTTGGTTATTCAGAATAAGTTGTTTAATGTTTTTAACACATTTCACCCCTGTGACCTTGAATATAGGTGAAGGTCATTCATTTGAACATAAATAATAGCCCTTTACTCCAGCATGCTGCTGGCCAGATATCATCACCCTGTGCATTTTGGTTATTCAGAAGAAATTGTTTAAAGTTTTTAACATATTTGACCCCTGTGACCTTCAATAAGGGTGAAGGTCATTCATTTGAACAAACTTTGAAGCCTTTCATCTCAGCATGCTACTGGCCAAATATCATCACCCTGAGCAATTTTAGCTATTTAGAAGAAATTGTTGAAGGTTTTTTAAGACAATTGACCCCTGTGACCTTGAATATAAATGAAGGTCATTTATTTGAATAAACTTGGTAGCCCTTCATCCCAGTTTGCTTCTGGCCAAATAATGACACCCTAGGCCTTTCGGTTATCAAGAAGAAGTCGTTTCAAGTAAAATATTGACGCCGGACTTTGTGCCAGGTGAGCTAAAATAGCTATGGCTCCTGGAAAACTCGGGATGAGTTCTTTCCTGGAGGAGGAGAAAAAATAATGACCTCTGTTACATTAATACTTGTTGTTTGTCATACATGACACTTTTCGTCACCCAGTGGAAAAGTCAGCCATATGTTCTACCCAGAATGCATGGTGTTTTACAATCAGAATAATCACAAAAACTGAAGAGATCAATTAATTTGTTTGCATTTTGAAAAATTCCATTTACATTTGTTTTTATACAGATTTTATTCCTGGTCTTTAACTACATGGTCCTGCCAAACCTGTTAACACAATAGGTGTACCTCAATACATTATGTTAACACAACAGGTGTACCTCAATACATTCTGTTAACACAATAGGTGTACCTCAATACAACCTGTTAACACAACAGGTGTACCTCAATACATTCTGTTAACACAACAGGTATACCTCAATACATTCTGTTAACACAACAGGGATACCCCAATACATTCTGTTAACACAACAGGTGTACCCCGATACATTCTGTTAACACAACAGGTATACCTCTATACATTCTGTTAACACAACAGGTGTACCTCGATACAATATGTTAACACAACAGGTATACCTCAATACATTCTGTTAACACAACTGGTATACCCCAATTCATTCTGTTAACACAACAGGTGTACCTCAATACAATCTTTTAACACAACAGGTGTTCCTCAATACATTCTGTTAACACAACAGGTGTACCTCAATACAATCTGTTAACACAACAGGTGTACCTCAATACATTCTGTTAACACAACAGGTATACCTGGATACATTCTGTTAACACAACAGGTATACCTCGATACATTCTGTTAACACAACAGGTATACCTCGATACATTCTGTTAACACAACAGGTGTACCCCAATACATTCTGTTAACACAACAGGTGTACCTCGATACATCCTGTTAACACAACAGGTATACCTCAATATAATCTGTTAACACAACAGGTGTAACTCAATACATTCTGATAACACAACTGGTGTACCTCGATACATTCTGTTAACACAACAGGTGTACCTCGATACATTCTGTTAACACAACAGGTGTACCCCAATACATTCTGTTAACACAACAGGGGTACCTCAATACATTCTGTTAACACAACAGGTGTACCCCTATACATTCTGTTAACACAACAGGTGTACCTCGATACAATATGTTAACATAACAGGTATACCTCAATACATTCTGTTAACACACCAGGTATACCTCAATACAACCTGTTAACACAAAAGGTGTACCTGGATACATTCTGTTAACACAACAGGTGTACCTCGATACATCCTGTTAACACAACAGGTATACCTCAATATAATCTGTTAACACAACAGGTCTAACTCAATACATTCTGATAACACAACTGGTGTACCTCGATACATGCTGTTAACACAACAGGTGTACCTCGATACAATATGTTAACATAACAGGTATACCTCAATACATTCTGTTAACACAACAGATATACCTCAATACAACCTGTTAACACAACAGGTGTACCTGGATACATTGTGTTAAAACAACAGGTATACCTCAATACATTCTGTTAACACAACAGGTATACCTCAATACAACCTGTTAACACAACAGGTGTACCTGGATACATTCTGTTAACACAACAGGTGTACCTCAATACATTCTGTTCATGCAGTAATACATTCTGTTAACACAACAGGTGTCCCCCAATACATTCTGTTAACACAACAGGGATACCTCAATACATTCTGTTAACACACCAGGTATACCTCAATACAACCTGTTAACTCAACAGGTGTACCTGGATACATTGTGTTAAAACAACAGGTATACCTCAATACATTCTGCTAACACAACAGGTATACCTCAATACATTCTGCTAACACAACAGGTATACCTCAATATAATCTGTTAACACAACAGGTGTACCTCAATACCACCTGTTAACACAACAGGTGTACCTGGATGCATTCTGTTAACACAACACGTGTACCTCAATACATTCTGTTAGCACAACAGGTGTACCTCAATACAATCTGTTAACACAACAGGTGTAACTCAATACATTCTGTTAACACAACAGATATACCTCAATACAACCTGTTAAGACAACAGGTGTACCTGGATACATTGTGTTAAAACAACAGGTATACCTCAATACATTCTGTAAACACAACAGGTGTACCTCGATACAATATGTTAACACAACAGGTATACCTCAATATAATCTGTTAACACAACAGGTGTAACTCAATACATTCTGTTAACACAACCGGTGTACCTCAGGACATTCTGTTAACACAACAGGTGTACCTCAATACATTCTGTTCATGCAGTTTAAATGCTTTGTCATGCTACAAATGATTCCACTATTACAACAAAACATTTATGACACAAAAATGCTTATAGAGCGAGTTGTTAGCATTGTAAGAATACAGCATTTTAATTATCATGGTATCATACTGGATGGATTCAATTACCAGGTATACTTATTTTGATTACGTACAAATTATAAAACCCTCCCATTTTTCTTGACTCTTTGCTACACAAGCAAATGTTTTGGCGAGTTTTTTCAAATCATAAAAGGTAAAAGTGCAATATTCACAGCTTATATTATATACAATGTAACTACTGGCACAATTATGTACTGTACATCTTTCAGAGACAGTTGTCTAGAAACTACTCAAAATCTCAGTAAATATAATCTATAAATATATTTGTATCAAATCTTTAACATTAATATACCAAGATAAATTATTCCTTGAAGGATTAAACAATAGTTGACCATGATGACCAATTTGACCAGTACCAGTTACGACACTGAACAAGCTAAATGACAGATATGCTGAAAGCAGTATGTACAACAAATTTCATAATTAATTATATACCCACTTACCCAGCAATTCATCATTTTTCTTCAAATCTTTTGAGATATCATCTATACTCCTCATTGTCGGTGTATCTAAAACAGAAGACAAATTGTGATATGGAGAGCCATATAAAAGTCTATATACAGAGTATGAAATTCTTTATTATTATGCGTCAGTGGATATCCATGTTTCTGCACCGGACTTAGAGTTACCTGTTCTAGGTATTCCAGCTCAGAAGGATGACGATCCGGATAAAACTGACTGGGATGTTGAGGTTGCGGACGACGATCCACCTGAAGACGTTGAGGACAAACAACCTCAGACACCAGATGGGGAGCGTATTTTTCACCTGTATTATATTGTCATGTTAATGTCTTGTCATGTGATTGGGTGTTCATACCTGTACCTGTGAGTTTTTACCATCATTCCTGCACTTGACATGGACAGTACCGGACGTACATGTTACATGTACTCGTACAAACTATACAAGACCTACAGACCGCTGAATTTGAAGTACAGCATGATTACTAAAGTAAGTAACAAGAAGTATAAACCATTTTAAGTTGATGTTATTGATAATCTTTGTGGAATCATATATTAATCAATTAGAGGAAGCTGAATTATCCTTCCTTTATCAGACATATTTTGGGTGTGGTTCGTCCTACTTTTTATAATGATAACCAATGTTATTTACTAAGCCTTTTTTCTAAATCATTTTCTAAGTCAATATGTTATAATTTTTCCCTACAGATGAATTTAACATATAGACAACAGAAGCAGTTATAAGTATCATCATATAAGATCCCTGTCTGATGGATAGGGTACTAGTATTTGTCTATCGATACACTACGTAAATTATGAAACTATTGTAAATAATGTATGTTAATTAAATTGATAAATTGTGTAATTTATCAATGATATATTTATTGTAAAGTTGTAATGTTAACTGTAACCGTTACGGGGAATTTGTATTTCATGTGATAAAGTATACCTCTGGTGTAGTGTACATGTATATCACAAAGTAGTTTTATCGTACTTGTTCGTATATGTTGTATTTGAGTTATTGTAGGGTCTTCTTTGTCAAATAAAAACAACTGAAATGGAACCATAGTACTGGTTGTTCTGTGAAGAAACAATGTAGAGTTGACCCGGCTACAATACTTTTCAAATACATCTGACTAGTTAAGAACGTATCAAAGTGAATGCTTTCTCTGCCTATTTGTTGGCCTCTAAATCACAAATTGGCGTCACTAGTTTGTGAATGAAATGTTATCAGAAACCAATAGGGATAATGAATGAGTTTCCATATAAGGAGATATCAGATTCCATATAAGGAGATATCAGATTCCATATAAGGACAGCGAGTCTATATATAAGGACATAGAGGGAGCTACTTTTGTTTCTGCATTTCTACGTTAAGCAAACTTCGTAGCATGCTCGATCCGCTAGACACATGTGTTACCTAATGAATGTGTCAAAAACTGGATTAGAGTTAATTGTTTGTTTTCATTTTATTTTGAATGTGCCTGCAGAATTTGTTCTGAATTCTTCAAGCATTGTGCTTAGGGTGACAGTATTGAGGAGATTCCACTGTGTTAAAGCTTCTAGAATGAATGAATGAGTGAGTGTATGTCAACGTAAGATTCAATTCAGGGGCTTCGATGAACTGACAGACACAGCAGCATTTGATGCAAACTGCTGCAAACACTGATTTATTTTGGCCTTTAAAGACCGAGCTCACCTATAAATAGTGGACCTTACTAAAACATGGCAGATCATGTACAACTTTAAACTGCAGCAGAAGTGTTTCACTTGCTCTACTTGTTTTGAAATTTTAGTCTAAATAACCACATATTTTTACCAAAAAATGCCAGGTGTGAAAATAAAAGTGTGCTTATTTATCAAATCCTACTCTGAAGAAATGACTTTTCTTAATAACCAAGATATTACATATTTTTATTCCAAATATTTGAATTTGGTACTTTCGGGCTATTCCAATTTCAAATAGTGTGGGGAGTAACAGCTCCCAACTGACATTGACTGTCTACATTGTAAGGCTATCTGAGGTCACTGGCTCAGGTCACTGGTCAGCTCTTGTTGATAAACAACTAAACATGCTCACTTACTTGTATTAATTGCCTTTATTCCTCTTTAATTCCTAAATTTAATTTCATAATAGTCCATGAGTTGAGATTTCAAAATATAAACAAAAAGTACTGATTAATTACTGCCCCATGAATGACCAACATATTCCTCAGTTGATGTTTTGGGGTACCACATTCTAACTGTATTCAATACACAATTTGGCATATATCTCTTTTATGCCAGGTATAATGTTTTCTTGTTGGATCAACTCCATGTGCCCTCTGTTTTCTCAAAAAGTATCGCTGATCTGCCCATGCACCTCTATTACTCAAAATGGCCCAAAATCGTTTGTATAGTTTATTTCATAATTGTCTATTCCTGCTATTTGGGAAAGCGTTCATTTCAGGCCACCACAATTGTCTATTGGTTTCATCAACAACACATCTGTCACAAAAGCAATGTGGACACTCGGTATCGCTGAACCGTCCATCAGAATCTGCGGCTAAATTTGCACTATAACCACTTGAAGCTGTCTCAGGTTGTCCTTGTGTCACCAGAAGTGGTCCAGCTGCTTCACCATCTCTATCATTGCCTGTATTTGTACTTTGTATCACAGGTATGTGGTCATGCTGTGTTGCCCTTATTAAATCCCAACCATGCACTGTAAATATCCCTTCTACTATTTCTTCTTCTTCTCTTGTCATCAAAAGACAAACAATATGTCTTCTTTCACTGTCGGCCATATTACCTTGTACTGGCTTGGAAAAATTTAGCGGGAGATGTGTCTATGGGATTGGTCAAGATATCTCAAATATCAAAGGAAATGGTAGCTGAAGGAAGCTGTTTGGGATGGGGTTAGGCCAAGGAATTTTATGTTGTGTTTACTGTGTATGTTTGTTGACTTCTTCATGAGATGTTATTTGTATTTTCTGTTGAATGTATTTATCAACAGGAGGTTTTATCCTTAGGTAACATTCCATATTATATCATATTATGTAACTGTGTAAAATTAATACCGGATGTGCTAGGAGAATGTTAGACAGGGAGATAATCCAATTAATCTCAATATATTATGATCAACTAAACCCAAAATTATTTAGCCTTTCATTGGATAAATGGGGATAGTGTTCTACTACTTCTTGACCATTCTATTCATTTTGTAACAACCCATATACACATAATGGCGGACAGAAATGATGAGCAGAGAAAAGTGAAAAAGGCAAATTATAATAGAAGGTATAGGGAATCTGGAAGACCAAAGAGGTTTACAACAGAGCTTACTGGAGATGATGAAGTGAGAGAAAGTGTGAAATCAAAACTTTCAAAGGTGAAAAATGTATTATCAGGGGCTATGGATAATGTCTCAAATACAGAGGCAATCAACAGAGTGCTTGATTTCTTTTTGGAACGACACCAGGAAAGAATAGTTGATGATGATGACAATGATGAAGAGATGAGGGAACAGAGTATTTCTACAACTTCTGGTTATATTCAAGCAGACAGAGAAGATGTTGATGAACCAGTTTTTCTTACAGCTATTTCATCTGTAAAGCTACTGGCAAAGATTGTCACTGAACACTCAAATCTGTGCAAAAACTGTCACATTGAAGCTGATGAGAAATACAAGAAAGGACATGCATCTGTACTAAAACTGTACTGTGTCAATTGTGATGCTGATTTACAGAATTGTCCGTCTTCACCATATTTACCCAATGAAAAGGTTTTGGTAAACCATCGGATGGCACATGGCTGTATGTGTTCTGGGATAATCCCCAATCAGTTCAAGAGGCTGACTGAAGCAGCTGATATTGGAACATTGACCGAGGCTTTCCATCGTGACCATGTTGCACAAGATTTTAACCTAGCGGTTGCGTATGAATACAACGATTCCTGTAAGGATGCATTGTCAACTGAAATGGCGACGGCTGTTATCAACCATGAAGGCCAGATGGAGGATTTTGAAGGTATCAAAATTATTACAGATGCCCGACACGGTTGGAGAAAAAACTCCCGACAGACTGATGTTGTTTGTATTGGGTATGAAACACACAAAGTTTTGTTGGATGAAATAATTACAAAAGATGATGATTTATATGCTCAGTGACATGTGCATTAATTATAGCATCAGAGAATGTGAGGGAAATGCTCAAAAACTCAAACAAAGCCTGGACAATATTGTCCAGCATTATCAAAATGTGCACACTGGTTGCTCAGAAAAATCTAACTGTAAGACATACCCCAACCACCAGCCATCAAAAATGATCATCAAGGACCCAAAGGCTGAGCTACTTCTGCGCAACGCAATCCAGAAAAGTGGAATATACCAACACCCAGAAGACTACATCATGGCCATGGACACATTCTATGTGGAGTCATTCAACAATGTTTTGAACCTGTTTCATGACAAACGAATTGCATTCGGGAATGAAGAATACATCCGGAGAAGTCGTATGGCTGTTCTTCACTGGAATGAAAATGTAGATAGGCCCTACAGCAGTATTTGGAATCCACCAGAGGCCCAGCTTGCACCTAACATTAGTTCTAGACACCACAAAGGCAAAAAAGTGTACAAGAAGAGAACATTTATGTACACATGGAATATATGGAATACTCGCATGAATTTTTTATTTGGAAACTGACCTCTGGATAAACTACTTACCAAGTTCACAAAACACCAGTCATAAAAAAGTATGAGATTCCACTGTTTGGACGATATATTTACATATTGACATTGATTAACACGATATATGACATTTTGTTTTACCTTTGGATAAAACCTTTTCAAAGGGCATTATTATTTCGTGACGGTTTATTGAGCTATGAACACACTAATTGGAAAGCTGTTGTGTTCGCCATGTGCGATGTATATACACGTCTCTAGGTGTTATGAAAAACTTAAATAGAATTTTTAGGGAATTTACTCAAAGACTTCTCATTTCTTGATTTTTTTATTCTTCTTTCTATTTCAATATATATTTTTGTTTCTCAATCTTTTCCTCATATGATTACAATATATATATATCCATTCTTATTCCTATAATATGTTTAAATGCACAGTACAATAAATATTACTGGTATTACAGTTATAATGTTACATGTGAGTTTAATTATTAAATCAGTTTGGCCTTAGTGGTCATTTTATTTACAACGTTGGTCTTTCAGTGTGTGTGTAGACAGCAGGCTGACTGCAATAGCTATGACCAGAGGCTAGTCTTGTATAACAGGTCTGGGTTTTATCAGCAGCAGCAAGGCCTTACGCCCCCATCCTGTGTATATAATCTAACACTCCCAACTTTTACTCCCATGGGAGTAAAAGTACGGTCTTTAAGTCAGGTAGTTACACCTGTGTATAACTCCTATTCAATGCAATCAATATCCCTCGAAGTACAGATCTCCACTGTAGTCTGCCCTTATTTTACCATGATTTTTTAAATGGTTGTTTAAAGAAAGTATATACTGAGAGTGTAAAACCCTATTTTGTAATGGAGGTATTCAGTTTATCATTATAGCAGATTCTCTACCGTCAATGTAACCTTGGATATATTTTGCCTGTTAATTTCCAGTATCAACATTATATATTAAACATGGATTCAGCATTTTCCTAATTTTAGTACTGTCTAGAAGTTCATCTCTTTCAGTTATTCTGAACAAGAGGCCCAGAGGGCCTGTATCGCTCACCTGGAAATGTTAGTAAATTTGAAGTTTGAATAGCTAGATGTTGCTGGTAGTGTACATGTACATGCATTACATTATTATTATTGGTTCCCCTTCACCTATGGATACTTTATATCAAATTTGGACAAAATCCTGTCGTTCCTACAGAAGGACAAGGATTTTGAAGAATTTGCTGTTTCCCCTATTCGGCCCCGCCCTCTGCCCCCAAGGGACCACACCCATCATTTATACAAAATTGAGTCCCCTTTGCCAAAGTATGCTCCAGACTAAATAAGGATAAAATCCTTTAATCCTTACGGTAGAAGAAGGATTTTAAAGGCTTTACCTCTGTTTCCATTATTTGGCCCCACCCCCAAGGGGGCCACACCCACTTTTTATGCAAAATTGAGTCCCTTTTGCACAAGGATGCTCCAGACTAAATAAGGATAAAATCCTTTAATCCTTACGGTAGAAGAAGGATTTTAAAGGCTTTACCTCTGTTTCCATTATTTGGCCCCACCCCCAAGGGGGCCACACCCACTTTTTATGCAAAATTGAGTCCCTTTTGCACAAGGATGCTCCAGACTAAATAAGGATAAAATCCTTTAATCCTTACGGTAGAAGAAGGATTTTAAAGGCTTTACCTCTGTTTCCATTATTTGGCCCCACCCCCAAGGGGGCCACACCCACTTTTTATACAAAATTGAGTCCCTTTTGCACAAGGATGCTCCAGACTAAATAAGGATAAAATCCCCTAATCCCTACAGTAGAAAAAAGATTTTAAGGGTTTTACCTCTATTTCCCCTATTTTGCCCCGCCCCTCTGCCCCCAAGGGAGCCACACCCACAATTTATTCAAAATTGAGTCCCCTTGGCCAAAGGATGCTCCAGACTAAATTAGAATGAAATCCCTTAATCCCTACAGTAGGAGAAGGATTTTAAAGGTTTTACCTCTATTTCCCCTTTTCGACCCCGCCCCACTGCACCCCAAGGGGGCTACACCCACCGGTTATACAAAGTTGTGTTTCCTTGGCCCAAGGATGCTCCAGACTAAGTTAGAAGGATTTTAAAGGTTTTAGCTCTATTTCCATTGTGCATTTTAAATCTTAGACTGCTAAGCAAGATTTACCTCCCCTTAGACCCAGCCACCAAGTAATTTCAGCCAACGAGGTTTTTAGTTAGTGTATTTTATTTAAAAAAACTTTTTTGTGTTCCATTTGATTTCAGTGTTTGCCATTTATCTGAGAAATGGGGTGTTGAACAACAAAAACGAACAAAAAATGCAAAAAAAAAACATTTTCTCAACAATAACTCAAACATACCTAATTTACTATTACTCTTCTGTCACATTTTACTTGTTTAACTCAGAAGAACATGTTATCTTGAAATTTACCATGCTGTGGTATCTCATAAAGCACGGATACACACACAAGGGAGTGTCACACTGAAGACAAACGTACTGAGTTTGATGTCACTTTTTCTGCTCGCGGTCAGAGCAAACAGCACAGTCTGGAGTTGACATACATCCAACTGCTGTCATGTGGGGATTCATGGATGGGAAATGTTTCTCTGTAAGCTTAGAAGGGGTGCTTTTTACTGGCCTAGCAAATCTCTTGTTTGTAGGTTCATGGCCTTCAAGCAGACCGTGAATGACGGCTAACCGAAACTTCATTGAGGACACTTTTTTCCCTCCATTGAGAGATTTCCAGATAATTTTGCTGTTACAGAAAGTCACTTCAAGCAGATTACAGATAACTAACTTCTTCCACCATATTAGCATTCTGTGTTGAGATACACAATATTGTGTTTGTTGATCTGCAACATCCACACCACCCATGCTGTGTGTAAAGTTGTATCGCCCTAGCTGGGGTGGTCAACTTCGCGTACATGGCCGTCATGAAACTTTGATCTCACTGTCTTGGTGTATGTACTGCCATTGTGGACTCCGCTTAAGTCCAGGTTTTCAGCCCCCAATTATGGGGTTTTGAAGGGATATATTGCAGATACTTGGTCCTTCCTTTATATGGAGTTAATGTTTCATCTACTATCTCTTGGCATTAATACAGTAAACCCTTTCAAAGATATTAACTCAGCAGTGTTCCAGTATGAATCGTAACCAGGTAAACATACTAAACCCATGTAGAGAATTATGCCAATGAAAGCTTTCATTTCCAAGTTCGTGACGTCAGTCCACTTTCTCGCACGGGCGTGAGGTTTTAAGTTTTCAACTCCACCAAGATTTGTGATGTACTGTACGTGGTATAAGTTTGTTTGAGTCACTAATATATCGATGATTTCATTATTGAACAACGTAAGAAAAATATCCGACTCAGATGTTTTGGTACCGAATTTTCGGAAAACTCAGTCAACCATGGAGAAAAATATGCATTATGCTTTAGATCCCGATCTTCCCTATCCATTTCATTCTCAACTTCTTGATCAATTTCCCGTAATTCCTGATCAACCAAATCAATGTCGACATCAACGTCAAAGTTTCCACCGATTTCATCACCGATATCTTCTGGATAGAAGCCCATAAATTCATCATCTTCGTTATCGGAGTTACCGACAAGTTGGTAAAACTCGGCTTCAGTCATTGTTGCAAAAAATTCAGTCAAAACATGTGAATAATCCCATTTTTATGACATAAATCAATGACTTATATCACTGTTGATTTTTGACCGCCATCTTAGATCTCACCACTACTGCCTTCCCGCGAGATGTATAGTAACATGGGAATTCCCGTTACATAATTTAGAAAACGAAACCTATTCATGGCTGGCATACGGTAAGATTAGCGTGGGCGGGGATTCCCGCCAGCCGCAGTCTAAGAGTTAAAGGAAAAGTTGACGGATGGACGACGGACGACGGACGCTGCAGTATGGCATAAGCTCACCATGGTCCTTCGGACCAAATGAGCTAAAAAGGATATAACCAAAAACAATATGGCAGACATAAGCTTAAATGATCAAACACATAACTGTGTAAGTTGCAAATATTTTTTTTAGATTTCATTTCTATTCTAAATACAGATGTATTTCATTGTTGAGCAGTTTTAAATCTATCAAATCTTGTTATCTTTATTAAGTTTTTTACCCTTCATCATCTATTTTCCATGACATTAGCAGAGCTTTAGCTGTTATGCTATGATCCCACCTGATTGACACATGATGATGTCTTACTTGTCTCAGATTTGCTCTGCTTTTATTCTAATTAAAGAGTATGTACTTTCAGATATCTCTTCAAAGATCAGATGTTTTCAAAATTCATCATGTTAATGACTAATCAAAGTAAACACACTCCCCAACAACTTGGTTTAAATGAAGATAAAACTTCAATTCCATTTATGATCATACCTAAAGGTTGGCATAGAGCATTGTTCTCGGAGGACAGCACGGCTCTTGTTCTAGTTTTCTGAGCCCCAGCTGTTTGATAACAATACAGTCTCCTTGCTGCAGGAAGAATGCCTTTCTGTTGAAAGTAGAAAAGTGTGAGCAATGTCCAGGTGATACCGTGTGGTGAAGGGTTTGCTCCAGCTTTACAAAGACCCCTACACGAAGCCCAGTATTTAATGATACGCACAAGGGAGCAGAACCGATCATCTAACACACTCATGGTATACAGTACCTCTGCGTTAACCATGGGATTACTGTTGCTGCAAACAAACAGGAAACATAAATTAACAATTACTATCATAAAGGACAATTTTTAAAAGCAATTAAGTGTATTTCTGACTTGGACATTAAAATTCTACGACAGGATACCTTTGGATCAAGTAACAAAGCCTTATTCCACAGTACCATTGGATTACACATTATTTCGTAGGCGTAGGTACTGGACACACATTATATAACACAAAAGTTCATGCATGACAATTTCAACCAATCAGGGTGTAAAATGATAATCAATTATTTTAATCAATGATTTAGCTTATATTTGACCTTGGCTGTAGTCTTTGAATTATGTACTTGTTAACCAAGTTTTATCCAAATTGAATGATATTTATGTAAACTTGCGAAAAATTAGACAAAAGGATGGACAGACGGCATAAGCACAACTGGTCCGAACCATGTGAGCTAAAACTGTTTTCCAAAATATGTCAAATATCCGATGATTAATAATTTGCTTGATATGTTGAATATTTGCGGGTTAAAGTTAAAATTTCAAGCCATAGAAAATCTTGAAAAAAGTGGTTCCTGTCAATGTGAAGCATCACATGTAACAGTTCCTGTCAATGTGGAGCATCACGGGTAACAGTTCCGGTCAATGTGGAGCATCACATGTAACAGTTCCTGTACATGTGGAGCATCATGTGTAACAGTTCCTGTCAATGTGGAGCATCATGTTTAACAGTTCCTGTCAATGTGGAGCATCACATGTAACAGTTCCTGTCAATGTGGAGCATCACATGTAACAGTTCCTGTCAATGTGGAGCATCACATGTAACAGTTCCTGTCAATGTGGAGCATCACATGTAACAGTTCCTGTCAATGTGGAGCATCACATGTAACAGTTCCTGTCAATGTGGAGCATCACATGTAACAGTTCCTGTCAATGTGGAGCATCACATGTAACAGTTCCTGTCAATGTGGAGCATCACATGTAACAGTTCCTGTCAATGTGGAGCATCACGTGTAACAGTTCCTGTCAATGTGGAGCATCACATGTAACAGTTCCTGTCAATGTGGAGCATCACATGTAACAGTTCCTGTCAATGTGGAGCATCACGTGTAACAGTTCCTGTCAATGTGGAGCATCACATGTAACAGTTCCTGTCAATGTGGAGCATCACATGTAACAGTTCCTGTCAATGTGGAGCATCACATGTAACAGTTCCTGTCAATGTGGAGCATCACAGGTAACAGTTCCTGTCAATGTGGAGCATCACAGGTAACAGTTCCTGTCAATGTGGAGCATCACATGTAACAGTTCCTGTACATGTGGAGCATCACATGTAACAGTTCCTGTACATGTAGAGCATCACATGTAACAGTTCATGTCAATGTGGAGCATCACATGTAACAGTTCCTGTCAATGTGGAGCATCACATGTAACAGTTCCTGTCAATATGGAGCATCACAGGTAACAGTTCCTGTACATGTGGAGCATCACAGGAAACAGTTCCTGTCAATGTGGAGCATCACAGGTAACAGTTCCTGTCAATGTGGAGCATCACATGTAACAGGTCCTGTACATGTGGAGCATCACATGTAACAGTTCATGTACATGTGGAGCATCCCATGTAACAGTTCATGTACATGTGGAGCATCCCATGTAACAGTTCATGTACATGTGGAGCATCCCATGTAACAGTTCATGTACATGTGGAGCATCACATGTAACAGTTCATGTACGTGTGGAGCATCACATGTAACAGTTCATGTGCATATGGAGCATTACATGTAACAGTTCCTGTACATGTGGAGCATCACCGGAAACAGTTCCTGTCAATGTGGAGCATCACAGGTAACAGTTCCTGTCAATGCGGAGCATCACATGTAACAGTTCCTGTACATGCGGAGCATCACATGTAACAGTTCCTGTACATGCGGAGCATCACATGTAACAGTTCATGTACATGTGGAGCATCCCATGTAACAGTTCATGTACATGTGGAGCATCCCATGTAACAGTTCATGTACATGTGGAGCATCCCATGTAACAGTTCATGTACATGTGGAGCATCACATGTAACAGTCCTGGGGGTGTGGAGCATCACATGTAACAGTTCCTGTCAATATGGAGCATCACAGGTAACAGTTCCTGTACATGTGGAGCATCACCGGAAACAGTTCCTGTCAATGTGGAGCATCACAGGTAACAGTTCCTGTACATGTGGAGCATCACATGTACCAGTCCTGTACATGTGGAGCATCACATGTAACAGGTCATGTACATGTGGAGCATCACATGTAACAGTTCATGTACATGTGAAGCATCACATGTTACAGTTCCTGTCAATGTGAAGCATCACATGTAACAGTTTCTGTCAATGTGGAGCATCACGGGTAACAGTTCCTGTCAATGTGGAGCATCACATGTAACAATTCCTGCACATGTGGAGCATCACATGTAACAGAGTTATGTGTGCTCATATTGTTTTAACTTTCTCAATTGGTCAGAGATTATATGCACCTTACTGATCACCAATTGGAACTTTGAATGACTAGAAAACGTCTTAATTTGAAATAAGGGTAGAAATCAAAGGACTTCTGACACTCAAAGAAGTCTCTTTCTGACTCACATTGGGAGTATTTCCTCGAGATTGGTATACCCTCACTACTTCATGACACATCTACACGTATTATTGTGGTTCTTTTCAGTCCAACATTGAGTGCCATTTTCACACTAGGTCTAGTCTCATACAAAACAACCTTATGTTTTAATCAAGCCAGTAGATGTAGGTCCAAAAAGAACCAGGATATTACATGAAGATGTAGCGTGAACTAATTACTTTTCATAAAATCTAGAAAATACTTGCAAACTAACCTTTGAGCAAATGACTCAATGGAGATGTCACAACTTATTTTTGTGGGACAGTGTTGAACATTGATGATCGGCACTCTGGCATGGGGAGCACAAAATCCAATATTAAGTGATTCAGCCTCCTCTAGTTTTGTCTTGACCTGATCAAACATTTTTCTCTAAAAAAAACAATCACATGTACTATATAAGTATACACACAAAACACTGAGTTTAAGATGCATCTACCATATATGCAGTAATTAGAGCATGCACCTACCCAATATTTTGTACATGTCATACAGATTTATCCATATTCTGTCAGCACATCAACCTGAGGCTGATATATAATACATTTTTTTTAAATCCCCAAGGTTTTAACAAACAGCTCATTGGGCCTGTATCATTCACTTGGCTATTTTGTTATCTGAACTAGATAGGTAATTAATGGGCGGTCGGGAGCCACAGTGGATAGCACACTTGCCATTCGCCAAATCAAGGCGCCCCTGGTTTGATTCCCGGTCGGACATGACAAGGTATGGGGTCACCTGACCAACAACCACATGGGTTTTCTTCCGTACTCCAGTTTCCTCCCACATTAAGATCCCTACCCATAATTTATACAATTCCTCCAATATGTAATATCAAAATTGAAAATCAGCAGGAACCACATTTGGTTTTGAGGGCCCCCTCCAAGACTATCATTTTAATTCTAACATTTCATTTCACTTCCAATAAGTAGAAATGGACATACCTTATTGGTAGATACGTTTATGACAATATCTAAATCACTGCCCTTACATCCAAGGTTAGTGACAGCTGACCCATGTATGCCGACCGAAAGCTTAGGCAGACTCTTCATCAATACATCCTGGATCTCATTGTAAACCATAAAGTAGGCGATCTGATGAGACTTGTTTTGTCTCAGTATATAGTTGAACTGCAGCAGCTGATTATTCACCTGAAAAAAACATCTACTTTTCTTTCAAACATGCAATACATGCCTACCCTACCTTTGGAGCTGGGGAGGGGGCTACTAAATTCATTTAATATTATCAAATAATAAACTTCCCCTTAACCTGTGACCTTCAAAGTGGGTCAACATCATTTATTTGAATGAACTTAATACAAAAGCAAAGTACAGGACAAAGATGATTAAAGTAGGTGTACCTCATTTTATCATTTTAAATAGCCTAGCTGCTACATCAGATAGCTATAAAGGCTAATGCATTTTAAGACTCTTGACCTCATTTTTCTTTGAAAAGTCATTAAAATGAATTGACTTGTTCACCTTAAAAGTGTCTTGAGGTCATTCATCTGAACAGAGTGTGTAACTACTCACCACAGCAAATTAAAGGTAATGTGTCAAGTAAGTTGATGACATTCCCATTTGGTTAAATTAGCCACAGTCCACAGTAAGCTACAAACCTGCCACCCTCCCCACACTACAGGGTTGTTGCCAGCAATTTTGGGAAAGGGCCCCTGAGCAGGAATTGGGAAAATATCAACGGCATTTGACAAGAATTGGGAAATATTATTGGTGTTCTGACATGTACAGGTTTAGGAAAATATCAGAAGTTTGGAAAAAATAAAACCTGCAATGTGATTAAAATGTATAGCAATAAATAAACATCAATTTTCAGTTTTTTGGGGTTTTTTTTTCAATTACAAATTGATGTATTTCATGAATAGTAATACTTTGAATGTTGCACATATAATGACTGGAAACTTGTATAAACAATAACTGCTTTTAATCCAATTTGGAAAATAAAGACTGAAATTAGGAAAACGCCGGGTCATTTTTCAATTGAGAATGAATCCCTGTACCGGACCCTATATGCACCCTGCATTATCAGACATTATTGGATATTTTTAGCACAAATGATCCCGCAACATTGAAAGTGGGTCAGGAAAATTCCTACGAACATTTTACCAATAGTAATACGTTTAGGCCTCATGATTCTGCAGTTTTCTTTTCCTAACATATTCAACATGTCAAAATCATAACACGTCAATAAAATTCATTTAAATCAACTTTTAATTAACCCTGATCATTACACTTTTAATAAAGAAGAATTACATACATGTAGTGTGCACATGACAATTACTAAATTTGTATTACAGAACAATATATGCCCAGAGGACATGTATCTTTTGCTTGGATATTTAAGCCATTGAGACAAAATATATTCTCCTTAAAAGGATTATTTTCCCATTTTTGGATCTACCTCTGAGAACCCAGAGGAACAAAGATTTTCCTTTATATAAGATTTGATTCCTTAGTTCTCAGGATGCTTCAAAGCAAATGAAATTGAAATATGTTGATCTTTAATTAAAAAATGCTTCATAGCCCAATAAGGTTGACGTCCATAATAGTATAGTTGCAGAGGAGAAAATTGTTACAGCAATATTTAAATATGGCCAAAATATCTCACTAAGTTGGCCTGCCATCAGCCCCTTTGGAGTTACATTTAAGAGCATGTTTGCATATTGATAGAATCTATCTCCCCAGATGTGTGATACAGAAAAAGAAATCTCAATCGGAGGGTAAGATTTTATTTCAATAAGAGTAATCCCAGAAGGGTTTTATCACCCACTATCAAAAAATCCTCATTATTTGTACTATGTACTTTTTTTCACCTTTTCTCTTTTATAATTGGTTTGATAGTTTTTTTGACAGTAAATGATATCTTGTTTCAAAATTAGCTCATCATTAAACTTTTTTATTATAAGAGATCCTTGAAGGATCTTGGTGCCCACTATCAAAAGATCTTTAATGATCTACAAAAGATGATATTTTATCTTCTTTGTGCTTCATTATCTATTACCCACTCCAATGTTGGAAATCCTTAACAGGAAACGTGTACATTAACTTAAACCTAATGTTATTTGTTATTTACCACCATGACAAGTGCTATTGTATAAGATTGCATAAATATGCAAAATGATAAAAACTTGCAATTCTTACATATTTAAAATAGTGACAACAAAACTGAACTGCCAAATTCAAGATGGCTGTCTAGTGGCCATCTTGTTTTTCTTATTACTGTAGTCCCAAAAATCAATGTGGTTTACATTCATGTAAAATTTGAAGAAAAAAAACTTCCAGTATTTTCTGAGAAATAAAACTTTAACTATAAAAGTTCAAAATGGCTGCTTATCAGCCATCTTGGTTTTCAGACCAGGCTCAAAATCCAATATGTAAATCAAAGGACAATGGGGAACTTTCATAAGAAATGTGAGCAAGATCTCTCTAGTGCTTTCTGAGAAATAGCGCTAACAACCTGAAACTATCACAATTGAAAATGACTGCCTGTCAGCCATCTCAGTTCTCGGATCAGTTTAAAAATTCTATATGCAGAGCAAGGGACCATGGGGAACCTTCAGGTAAAATTTGTAAATATATAGCACTAACAAACTTTTACTAGAAAAATTTAAGATGGCTGTCTGTCAGCCATCTTTTTTTCTGATCAGTCCCAACATATAAAATTTCATAATTTAGGACCATGGGGAACCTTCCTGTGGAATTTGAGACGGATCCCTTTAGCAATTTCTGAGAAATAGCACTGACAAACTAAAACTATCAAAATTTAAGATGGCTGACTGTCAGACATCCTTGTTTTTCAATCAGTCCCAAAACTTGTTATGCATTATCAGGGATCATGGGGAAGCCTCAGGTGACATTTGAGAAAGGTCCCTCTAGTACTTTCTGAGAATGTTAGTTCCGTGGGAGAATTCCAAAATTGTTGTACTTTTTCTATAACAAAGAAATACAGTTTTGTTAGATTGCATGATTGAAGTGTCTAAGTAAGATATATTTTCTGAACCAGGAATAGTCAAATTAGAGGTTATTTGGGTAAAGGGGCACATATCTTATACCTTTCACTAGCACAAGAGGCCCAAGGGCCTTAGCGGCCATCTGAGTTATATCATAGGTACTGGTAGCTTTATTTTATTGTTTAGATGTGATGTGGAAATCAGCATGTAAACTAAGTGAAATACAATACTTGTCATGTCATCAAAGGATAAGAATTTGGAAATATTGGTAAATGTTCCCTTTGGGGCCCCGCCCTAGCCCCTGGGGAGGGGGCAGGAATCCCAATTTTACAAAGTAATACTCTCATGCACCAAAGATGATTCTGACTAAGTTTGAGTAATTTTCTACTGAAAATGGATAAAATATACCCAAAAGTGTTATTTCCCTATATAAACTATAGTAAACTTAACCCCCTCCCCAATGGAGAACGAATGGCTCGGTGGTCCTGAAATTTAAAATTTAAGTAAAGCCCCTGATGATCTTTCTTTCCATGCAGAGAAAATGACTGTAGTACCTCTGAGTCTGGAGAAGAAGATTTTTGAAATATTGGTTAATTTTCCCTTTGGGGCCCCGCCCTGGCCCCAGGGGCTGGGGTAGGAATTCCAATTTTACAATTTTGAAGCCTCATCTACCAAGGATGATTCTGACCAAGTTTGAATAAAATCCATCCACTGGTTCTTGAGAAGAAGTTGAAAATGTAAAAAGTTTACGCACGACGGACGACGACGGACGGAAAGCGATTAGAATAGGTCACTTGAGCAAAGCTCAGGTGACCTAATAAAGAGTAATACACATTGCAGGCGTCGGCATTACCACAACTGTAGATGAGTATTTAATAGGTGACCTAGTAATGTACCACATGTATTTACCTTTAAATGTCACTAAGCAAGTTAAGTTTGCAAGATTGAAATAACATCCATTACTTATCTGAAACTTAGGCAAGTTATAAATTGAATTACCATGTAATCAAATTACACATGGTTTTTTTTATTTAATTATATTTATTTAATGAGTGTTTATCAATACTGGTATAATTTTATGTTGACAGTTATGTAGCCTACTATTACTTTCATATTATCATCAGTAACTTTATCTCAACAGATGTGGTAATCATAATGTAACAGATGTTATGCCGTGAATCTGATGATCATGCGAAATGATTAAATTTTATGCAAACATGACACCCCCTCCCCACACAGAATTTTCCGATGGGTGTCAAGACCCCATTGGTAGTATCAAGGGTTAGCATGTATGCTATAATGTTCCTTTTTATTGAATGACACTATGTTTTTGAATAGTGACATCATGGGCAATAACTGTGAAGAAATAGCTCATATCTCCAAATTGCAAGATTTAAATCCTTGTGAATTAAATTTACTCATTTTCAGTAAAATGTTGGGAGTTTAACATATAAATGACCTGTAACATTTAGTAATTTTATTAAAAGTTGGACCAGGAATAGGAGTGATTAGTTTTCAACATATGACCTGTATATTTAGTGATTTATTTTGACATCAATTGCCAGGGTGTACATGTATATTTGATTTTATGAAATGAAATTATACCCTTTAAAAGTAACAAGAGGCCCAGAGGGCCTGTATCGCTCACCTGAATACCAAAGCAATCATGGCAAAATATTCTCCGAACGAGATCAAGGGAATATGCCAGACCCCAAGGCCAATCCTTGTAGCATATCTGTATTAGATTCTTCATGCCCAGCAATTTTAGGTATGGTTATGGGGTAGGGATCTCAACTGTTTCCATGCTTTGACTCAGAAACTAAGTCCCTAGGGTTGTGGCCAGACCCCAGGATCAATTCTAATATTGTGACTGTATTTGTCTCTTTTTGCCCAGCATTTGTATATAAAGTTTTGGGGTGGGGATCTCAACCATTTCAAAGTTATGACCCAGGGGTTAAGTCTCTAAGGGTGGGTCAGTCCCCAAGGCCATCCTGGAAGCATAAGTGCAATCATCTCTTTATACTCAGCAATTGTATATACCGTTATAGGGTGGGGCTCTCAACTGTTTCCAAGCTGTGACTAACAAACTAGGTCCCTAAGGGTTCAGTCAGACCCCAGGGTCTATTCTGATATCATGACTGCATTCGTCTTTTTATGCCCAGCATTTGTATATATAGTTTTGGGTTGGGGATCTCAACAGTTTTAAAGTTATGGCCCAGGGACTATGTCTCCAAGGGTGGGGCCAGACCCTATAGCCATCCTGGAAGCAAATGTGCATTCTTCTCTTTATACTCAGCAATTGTATACCATGGTTATATGGTGGGGATCTCAACCATTTCC